AGAATAAAAATCACATGATTATCTCAATCAATGCAGAAAAACCTTTTCTCTCAACATCCATTTATGATAAAAACTTTCAAAAAAGTGGACATAGAGGGAAGGTTCCTCAACATAATACACACCATACATGACAAACTGAAGCTAACATCATACTCAATGTTCAAAATGTGAAAGCATTTCTTCTAAGATCAGGAAAAAGACAAGGATGCCCACTCTTTCCACTTTTATTCAACATAGTATTGGAAGACCTAGCTACAGCAATCAGGCAAGTAAAGGAAATAAAAGGCATCCAAACAGGAAAGGAAGAAGTAAAACTCAGTGTCTGCAAATGATGTGATACTATATATAGAAAATCCTAAAGAAACTACCAAAAAACTATTTGAACTAATAAATTCAGTAAAAAAAATTTCAGGATACAAAATTAAAATACCTAAAGCTGTTGCTTTTCTATACACTAACAACAAACTATGAGAAAGAGAAATGAAGAAAAAATCCCAGCTACAATTGCATTAAAAAAAGTAAAATACATAGTAATAAATTTAACCAAAGAGGTGAAAAAGCTGTATTTTATAAGCTATAAGATATTGAGGAAAGAAACCGAAGAGAACACAAATAAATACAAATACATACTGTGCTCATGGACTGGAAGAATTAATATCTTTAAAATGTTCATACTACCCCAAACAGTCTACAGATTCAATGCAATCCTTATCAAAATACCAATGGTATTTTTCACAGACCCAGAACAAACAATTCTAAAATTTTTGTGGCAACACAAAAGATCCTCAAGCCAAAGTAATCTTGAGCAAGGACAACAAAGCTGGAGGTATCATGTGCCCTAGTTTCAAACTATACTACAAAGCTACAGTCATCAAAACAGCATGGTATTGGCATAAAAACAGACACCTAGATCAGTGAAGCAGAATAAAAAGCCCAGGAATAAACGCATACCTACATGGTCAATTTACCTATTACATAGGATACAAAAATATACAATATGGGAAAGATAGTCTCTTCAGTAAATGGTGTTAGGGAAACTAGTCAGCTAATGCAAAAGAATCAAACAGAAATACTTTCTCACACCATAGACAAAAATAAACTAAAAAAAGGCTAAAGACTTAAAAGTAAGACCTGAAATCAGAAAACTCCTGGAAGAAAACAGACCGTATGCTCTTTGACATTGGTCCTAACAATGCATTTTTTAAAATGTCTCCTCAGGCAAGGGAAACAAAATAAACAAATGGAACTACATCAAATTAAAAAGCTTTGGGGTAGCAAAGGAAACTATCAACAAAATGAAAAGGCAGCCTATTGAATGGGAGAAGATATTTGCACATGGTATATCTGATAAGGGGATAATATCCAAAATATACAAAGAACTCATACTATTCAACATGACAAAAACAAACAACTTGATACAAAATAGGCAGACTATCTGCACAGACATTTTTCTAGAGAAGACATTCAGATAGTTAGCACACACATAAAAAGATGCTCAACATCACTAATCATCAGGGAAATGACAATCAAACCCACAATGAGATATCACTTCACATTTGTCAAAATGGCTATTATCAAAAAGACAACAAATAACAAATGCTGAAAAGAATGTAGAGAAAAGTGAATCCTCATGTACTGTTGGTGAAAATGTAAATTGGTGCACTCTGGAAAACAGCATGGAGGTTCCTTAAAACATTAAAAATAGAATGCCCATATGATCCAGCAATTTCACTTCTAGGTGTTTTTCTAAAGAAAATAAAACACTAATTCAAAAAGACAGATGCACCCCAATGTTCATTGCAGCATTATTTATAGTAGTCAAGATATGGAAGCAACCTACATGTCTATCAATAGATGATGGTTTAATAAGATGTAGTATATACATTACTGAGCATAAAAAAGAATGAAATCATGCCACTTGCAACAACATGGATGGACCAAGGGGTATTATGCTAAATGAAATGTATCAGACAGAGAAAGACAAATACCTATGATTTCATGTATGTGTGGAATCTAAAAAACGAAACAAACAAAACAAGACAGAAACAGACTCATAGATACAGAGAAGAAACAGGTGATTGCCAGAGGGGAGGGGGTAGAGGGTTGAGTGAAATAGGTGAGGGACATTATAAGAGGTACATACTTCCATTACAAAATAATTGAGTCACAGGGATGAAATGTACAGCATAGGAAATATAGTCAACAATATTGTAATAACTTTATATGGTGACAGGTGGTAACTAGACATATGGAGATGATCATCTCATAATGTATAGAAATATCAAATGACTATGTTGTGCACTTGGAACTAACATAATGTAGGTCAATTATACTTTGATTTTTTTAAATGGGCAAAATAATGGATACTTTACCAAAGAAGATATATATATGACAGACATATGAAAAGATGCTCAAAATCATATGTCTTTAAAGAACTGCAAATTAAAATAACAATGAGATACCACTACACACCTATTAGAATGAATCAACTCTGAGATACTGACAAACCATATACTGGAGAGGATATGCAACAGCAGGAACTCTCATTCATTGCTGGTGAAAATGCAAAGTGGTACTGGCACTTTGGAAGACAGTTGGGTATTTCTAACATAGTTAAACACAGCCTTAACATATGATCCAACAATCACTCTCCTAGGTATTTAAATAAATTGAAAACATATGTCCACATAAAAAACTGCACACGGATGTTTATAAGAGCTTTACTCATAACTGCCAAAACTTGGAAGCAACAAAGATGTGGTCAATAGGTGAGTGGATAGACACATTATGGTACATCCATACAATAGAATATTATTCAGTGATTAAAAGAAATGAGCTATCAGGTTTCAAAAAAAACATGATAGAAGGTTAGATACACATTGATAAGTTAAAGAAGCCAATATGAAAATGCTACATACTGTACACCTTCAACTATATGATATTCTGGAAAAAGCAAAAATGTCAGTGGTTGCCAGCAGAGGTGTGGAGGGGACAAATAGGTGAAGCACGTGGGATTTCTTGATCAATGAAACTATTCTGTAGGTTGGTGTAATGGTGGATACATGACATTATTTATTTCTCAATTTCTTAGACCAGTACAGGCATACCTTGGAGATACTGCAGGTTTGGTTCCAAACTACTGCAATAAAGTGAGTTGCATGAATTTTTTTGTTTCCCAGTGCATATAAAAGTTATGTTTATCCTATAGTCTAGTTAATGTGCAATAGCATTATATGTTTAAAAATGCAATATCTGCAAAGAGCAATAAAAAGAAGTATGCCTATATAACCCAATTTAAATTTAGACTTTAGTTAATAATAATGTATCAATATTGGTCCATCCACTGTAACAAATATGCCACAGTAATACAAAATATTAATAATAGGGGAAATTATGTGGGAAGGGAAAAGGGGATATGGAAATTCTCTATACTTTCTGTTCAATTTTACTGTAAATTAAAGCTTTTTCAAGAATAATGCCTACTAATATTTTTTAAATTAAAATTTATATTTTAAAAAGTGGTTGAAGTGGAAAAATAATACAAAAATACACAACTTGCTTTTAATTTTTAAAAAGCAAACAAATAACAACAAAAAGAATAGTTCCATTGTTTTCACACTCCCATATGTTTACCTACTTTAAACATTCAGAATCAAAATATAATTGGATGCCCTCATCTTTAGGGGAAGTAGCAAATGGAAGAGAAGAGAGTATCATTCCACATTGTAAACTTTTCATTACTGCTTACTATGTTTTGAAAAATACATTTTTTCCTTTAAAAGGAAGTGAAAAAACAGTACACAAACTTATGGCAAATATCTGGAGACCACGAGGAAGAAAACACCCTTGGGCTCAATCTCTGGCTACTAGGAAATCAAACGTGACATTTTGCTTCCATTATTCTAAGACTTTTTACATACACTAACACTTTTGATCCCCATATAAGAGACTTTCACAAGAACTCTTGAGATCTAAAGAGATAATAAGCTTGTTTAAGGCCTCAGAACTAGTCAGGGCTGAAGCCAGAGCTAGAACTCATTAAATTTCACCACAATGTTGCTGTCCATTGTTGAGATCCACATTTGCAGTTAGTCAAGGCTCTGACAGTTATTAGAGGTTAATCCTCAGCAGCTTAACATTCTCTAAACCTCAGGTTCCTCCTCTTCAATAATTTGAAAAATACTCCCAGTGTTTTATAAACTTGTTAAATTTTGTATGTAAAACAAATGGGACGTTGCTAAAGAGTTAGCTATTACTCTCCTATATATAAAATGCTGGGCATCCCTGAACATTATACCTGTATTGCTTTTAGGCGAACATTCAAAAGGTTGACATTTAGTTTCTACTGAGACTGGGTATTCTCATTTCCTATGATACAACAATTCCACTCCTAGGTATTCACACCACTGAAATGAACATTTGTGTCCATCAAAATGGATATATGTTCACTGAATGCTCAGAGCACTATTCCTAAGGGTCCCAAATGGGAACTACCAAGTGCCCATAGGCAGTAAAATCGCCAAATACTTTTAAGATCACAAAATGGAATACTATGTAGCAGTGATAATGAACAATGCACAGCTACACCCAGCAATAATGATCAATCCGATGAGTAATGTTGAGCGAAAGCAGACAGACACTAAAGAAGGCACACTGAAGGATTCATTACCATAAAATGCATAGTTGGGAAAAACTAACCTGTTTGTTGGAATCAGAATAGAGTACCTTGGAGGAGGGGAAAGTGTCTGGAGCAGGAAAGAGGGTGCCTTCTGGAGTGCTGGTAATGATGTTTCTGGATCCCTCTGTTTCGTTACTCAAGTATGTTTGGGTTGTGAAATTCATTGAATTATACACTTGGAATCTGTGCACTTTTCTACATGCATGTCATAATGCATTAAAAGCTTTTTTTAAAGTGTCATTTTCCATGGAGAGGCTGGAATTTTTGGAATTCGGCCTAAAGCTCTGGTTTCACCACAAATCCATACCCAACAAGTTTCACTGCGAGTGAGAGAGGCTTGAGGCAAAGAAAGGCGTCCGCGGGCGGGTATGACGTCACATCTGGAGTTCAGGACATCCCTGTATGCCCTGCCCCGGACAACGACTTGGTGCTTTTACCTCAGACGAGTCGCAGGCTCGGGGTCCACAGACCTGAAGCCCCAGGCCGGTTCCTGAGGCGGCTCAGCCATCTACCTCTCCCGGCTCCAGACGACACCTGACCCCGTCGGGACTCCACGCGGCTGATATCGGACTCCAGGAGCAGGCTGCGCTTTCCAGCTCAAGGCTGGGATGGTGACAGTTACACTGGAGCCGGAGGGCCGCTGCCCCTGGGACAAGCCGGTGCGCATCGCCGTGTGCGGCCTGGCCCCGGGGCAGCGGGTCACGCTGCGCGCGTCCCTGCGCGACGAGAAGGGCGCGCTCTTCCGGGCCCACGCGCGCTACTGCGCCGACGCCCACGGCGGGCTGGACCTGGAGCGCGCGCCCGCGCTGGGCGGCAGCTTCGCGGGGCTCGAGCCCATGGGGCTCTTTTGGGCTCTGGAGCCTGAGAAGCCTTTTTGGCGGTTTCTGAAGCGGGACGTGCAGACACCCTTCGCAGTGGAGCTGGAGGTGCTCGACGGCCACGAGCCCGACACCGAGCGGCTCCTGGGCCGGGCGGTGCACGAGCGCGACTTCCTGCCGCCCGGGGTGCGGCGCGAGCCGGTGCGCGCGGGCCGGGTGCGCGCCACGCTCTTCCTGCCGCCAGGTGAGCCTGGGGTTCTGTGGGCGCGCGAGCGTCTTCGCTGGGCCGCTGAGGTTTCAGATACCACTTCCCAGGGAGTTTGGCTTGGGAGTAGGGCCAGAGAAGGGGATGTTGACTAAATCCTCTGACCTCACAGTCACAATGGAGGCTTTTGGTATGTTAGCGTCTCTGCTGTGCGTTTTGCTTGCATTATCTCATTTAGTCTCATATAATGGGCATTGTTATTATGCAGATAAGAAAAGACTGGATCGGGTCTTTAAGATACACTTTGCTATTAATAATCACCCTGTAGATTTCTACACGCATCAGTTGATCGGTTTTACACTAAATGATAATGGTCAAGGAAGTTCCATATCTTCCAAGTGTCCTGAGTACATTGGGCCCCCTGCCCACTCTTATTTTCCTATCGCAGATCACACTTCACTGCCTTCCTCATCTAAAGCCTCGCCTATTTCTTTTTCTTTCCTCTAAGTAGACAGTTGAACCAAAAATAACGCCAAGGGTTGGCTCAACACAATATAAAGCTTTGTTTTAAGTTTTTAATTCTATGTCCAACCTCTAACAGAAGGAACACTGCAAATCAACACTGTCTAAAACGTTAAATTCCTCCTTCCATGATGTACTCGTTAGCCTTTGTTACTCTCCCTTACAACTAAAGATTCTTAGAACCTTTGAGATAATTTAACATAAATTCATGTGGAGGGTAAACTCATCAAGTACCTTGTAGCCCCCCCCCCATACATAAGGAACTTGTATCTCTTTTCAATAAAGACTCAGGGAGCTGTTTTCTTTCCTTTGATTCACAGGAACCCACTAAATAATTTGGAAACATTTCTAAAATGAAAGCAAATTGTTTAAATTATATAGTACTTTCCTTTCATAATATTACTTTCTCTAGGACCTGGACCTTTCCCAGGGATCATTGACATCTTTGGTATTGGAGGAGGCCTTTTGGAGTATCGGGCCAGCCTTCTGGCTGGTCATGGCTTTGCCACGTTGGCTCTAGCTTATTATGACTTTGAAGATCTCCCCAAGAAATTTGACACCATACACCTCGATTACTTTGAAGAAGCCCTGTGCTACATGCTTCAACACACCCAGGTTTGCCTAATGTCCTTCATCATTCTCTCTAGAAATACCTCCAGAGAGGGCGTCACTTTGCACTCACCTGTGTCAGGTGCACTGATGCTACTCTACTCTTCTTTCTCAGAGATTTCTTTTGGAGAATTCCTTAGCTTTAGGTACCTACTCTACTTTTTCTGTCAGGTGGAATAACAATGCAGAATTCATTGTAAAATTCATGTGAGATTTTACTGACAGGAATTATGTTGTAATACTAAAACTCCTTTTGCAAGCAAGTGGAGTTTCTAACTTTTTTAGTTTTGCATTCTTGTTTTTTAATCTGTATTTTTCTGATAGCAGAGAATGTTCTCAGATTTTGATGAGAACCTACTCACCCATTTCAGAAGCTAAGAACTATTCCTTTGGACTCTGAAGTCTTACTTTGTTTCTATAAAGTTAATCACTTGTGAATATTTGTTTAGATGAGATCTGATGAATTATTCACCTCTTGGAACAGAATTTGGTTCCACAGTTAGATACCCAGGAACAATGACTCTTTAACTCCACCTGAATGAGGCTCTGAACTTGACAGACTCCATGAGATATTCATTCTTAGCAGATAGACTCTCTGGAACATTTGTAACCAATTCCCAAATTTGCCAGGGAGTTTAAGGTTAGTCTGCTATGTGTCCAGCAATATATTCTTTATGTGGGAAGAAATCCTTTGTCAGCTGAGGTTGAGTCTCTTGTGGCTAATTCACGAATTAAAGCTAACAGCATCTCTAGTTGCTCTTAGAAAAATGTTTTTCTTTTGGGTAGGTTCTTGACTCTCCTTTCTTCTTTTCTTCCAGGTAAAGGGCCCAGGCATTGGGCTTCTGGGCATTTCTTTAGGGGCTGATATTTGCCTCTCCATGGCCTCATTTTTGAAGAACATCTCAGCCACAGTCTCCATCAATGGATCTGCGTTGAGTGGAGACAAAGCCATATACTATAAGGAGAATAGCATCCCGCCATTGGGCCATGACCTGAGGAGAATGAAGGTAGCTTTCTCAGGCCTCCTGGACATTGTAGATATAAGGAATGATATTGTAGGGGGATGTAAGAACCCCTGCATGATTCCAATAGAAAAGGCCCAGGGGCCCATCCTCTTCATTGTTGGTCAGGATGACCACAACTGGAGGAGTGAGTTATATGCCCAGATAGCCTCAGAACGTTTACAGGCCCATGGAAAGGAAAAGCCCCGGATCATCTCTTACCCTGGGACTGGCCATTACATTGAGCCGCCTTACTTCCCTAAGTGCCCGGCTTCCCTGCACAAATTATTGGACAAACCTGTGATCTGGGGTGGGGAGCCTAGGGCTCATTCTAAGGCCCAGGTAGATGCTTGGAAGCAAATTCTAACCTTCTTCTGCAAACACCTGGGAGTATCTGCCAAATTGTAATGCACTGATCTGTTACTGACATGAGGGATTCAAGGTCAGATTTTTGTGTTTAATAATCTTATATGAATCAATTGTCCCCTGGATAACATTAAATTCATGTCACTGGTATTACTGGTGTATTTCAGGTAAATTTTTGAGTGTTACTTTGTCATTAATTTTCCTAATGTAACACATACCTATTTTAGAAGATTCAGTTAGAGGTATACAATACAAAATAGTAAAAAGCATGCCCACTATTAACATTTGTGTTTTCACCTAGATTTTTTTACTTAACAATTTGAAGCACAGATGAAATTTAAAGCTGAACAAATACTGGGTTACTTTTTCCATTGCTGGGAGGCAGCGGCCATCCAATGTTTGCTACTGTTTCAACTACTGGTAGCAGGGTAGAATTTTCATTGACCAAAAATATACTGAGAGGTATTGACAGAGGGAAAGCCAGACTGAAATTTTTCTCATGGAGCTCAGAGAAGAATCCTCTGGGAGGAGGAATTAGGGTAAGAAGGGGATCATCTGGCTCTAAAACAGTTAAGTCCAAACTCTGTCCCAAGCGAGAGTGATTATGAACTATTTTCCTTCTTACTCAAAGAACAGACTTTGGAAAATCATACTGTCACGTTCTTAGGGGTATCATTCATCACTTTCCTTGACATCAAGTCTACAAAGTATTGTATAATTGTATTTGAAGTGATAACAGCTGAGAATTTTTGAAAACTAACAAAGACATCAAGCCACATATCTCAGAAGCACAACGTCTTATCTCGGGCTTCTTTAACAAAGTACCATGGACTGGGTGGCTTAAACAACAGATATTTATTTCTCACAGTTCTGGAGACTGGGAAGTCCAAGATCAAGGTTCCAGCAGGTCCAGTTCCTGGTGAGGGCCTCTTCCTGGCTTACAGACACCTGCCATCTTCTTGTGTCCTCAACTGGCAGAGAGAGGAAGCTCTGGTTTCTCTTCCTCTTTTCATCGGACACCAATCCCATCATGGGGGGGTCTCACTCATGACCTCTTTTAAACCTAACTACCTCCCAAAGGCCCTACCTTCAGTTACCATCACATTAGGGTCTCAGATTTCAACATATGAATGTTGAAGGGACACATCCGTTCATAACAACCGTACACCTCAAGCAACTTAAATACAAAGAAAACCATATTTAACACATCACAGAAAAATTCTTTGTGGCAGTTTTATAACTTAATTACAAATTCTTTGACATTTCTGGCTAGAAACATACACTATGCCAAGACTAAATAAGAAAGAAAAAGACAACTTGAACAGACTAAACACTGGCAGTGAAATTGAGTTTGTAATTTAAAAAACCAACCTCCCAGCAAACAAAAGTCCAGGACCAGATGGCTTCACAGGGGAATTCTACCAAACATGTAAAGATCAGTTGATACCTATCCTTCTCAAACTATTCAAAAAAAATTGAAGAGGATGCGATAATCCCAAAATCATTCTACAAGGCCACCACTACCCTGAATCCAAAACTAGGCAATGATGGTATGAAAAAAGAAATTACAGACCAATATCTTAGATGACTATAGATGCAAAAATTGTCAACAAAATGTTAGCAAACTGAATCCAAAAATTTATAAAAATGATCATACACCACAGTAAATGGGATTTATTTCAGGCCTAACAGGATGGTTCAATATTCACAAATCATCAATGTGATACACCACATTGACAACAAGAAGGATAAAAATCACATGATCATCACAATAGATGTAGAAAAAGCATTTGACAAAATCCAGTATCCATTCATGATAATGTTTTGCCTATATTTTCTTCTAGGAGGTTTATTGTATCTTGTCTTATGTTTAAATCTTTGATCCATTTTGAGTTTATTTTTGTGTATGGTATAAGGGGGTGTTCTAGCTTCATTGATTTATATGTTGCTGTCCAGTTTTCCCAACACCATTTGCTGAAGAGACTGTCTTTATTCCATTGTGTATTCTTTCCTCCTTTGTCGAAGATTAGTTGACCAAAAGTTTGTGGGTTCATTTCTGGGCTCTCTGTTCTGTTCCATTGGTCCATAAGTCTGTTTTTGTACCAATACCATGCTGTTTTGATGACTGTAGCTCTATAGTATTGTCTGAAGTCTGGGAGACAGTCTTGCTACTTCTATTTAACATTATATTAGAAGTCCTAGCCACAGCATCAGACAAGAAAGAGAAATAAAAGCATCCAAATTGGAAGAGAAGTAAAACTATCACTATTTGCAGATGACATGATACTATATATGGAAAACTCTGAAAACTAAAAAACAAAACAAAACAAAACAAAACAAAAAAACCCCCAAAACTACTAGAATTAATAAATGAATTCAGTAAAGTTGCAGGATACAAGATTAATATGCAGAAATCTGTTGCTTTGCCAACAACAACAACAACAACAAAAACCATTAAAAATTGCATCAAAAAGAATAAATTGCCTAGGAATAAACTTAACCAAGAATGTGAAGGACCTATACTCTGAAAAGTATAAAACATTGATGAAGAAAATTGAAGATGATACAAAGAAATGGAAAGATATTTTGTATTCTTGGATTGGAAGAATTAATAGTTAAAATGACCATACAAGCAACCTACAGTCCTTATTAAAATATCTATTTTATGGATTTAATGCAATCCTTATCAAAATATCCCATGACATTTTTCACAGCAGTAGTAGAATAATCCTAAAATTTATATGGAAACACAAAAGACCCTGAACTGCCAAAACAATCTTGAGAGAAAAGAACAAAGTTGGAGGTATCATGCCCCCTGTCTTCAGACTACTACCAAGCTACAGTTATCAAAATAGCATAGTACTGGTGCAAAAACAATCATATAGATCAATGGAACTGAATAGAGAGCCCAGAAATAAACCCACACACCTATGGTCAATTAACCTACAACAAAGGAAGCAAGATTATACAATAGCAAAAAGACAGTATCTTCAATAAACTGTTAGTGCTGAGAAAAGTGGACAGCTACATGTAAAACAATGAAATTAGAACAATTTCCTCACGCCACATACAAAAGTGAACTCAAAATAGATTAAAGACCTAAATGTAAGACCTGAAACCAAAAAACTTCTAGAAGAAACATAGAATACTCTTTGACATAAATCATAGCAATAATTTTGGGATCTTCTCATAAGGCAAAAGAAATAAGAGCAAAAACAAGCAAATGTTACCTAATTAAACTTAAAACGTTTTGCACTGCAAAGGAAACTAAACAAAATGAAAAGACAACCTACTGAATGGAAGAAAATATTTGCAAATATATGACCAACAAGGGAGTTATGTCCAAAATACATAAACAACCCATACAACTGAATATCAAAAAGAACAAAACAACCCAATTAAAAAATTGTCAGAAGACCTGAATAGACATTTTTCCAAAGACAATGTACAGATGGCTAACAGGCACATGAAGAGAGGCTCAACATCACTAGTCATTAGAGAAATGCAAATCAAAACTGCAATGAGAAATCACCACACACCTACCTATCAGAATGGCTATCATCAAAAAGCCTATAAATAAGAAAAGTTTGTGAGGATGTGAAGGAAGAGGAACCCCTGTACACCACTAGTGGGAATGTAAATTGGTACAGCCACTATAGAAAACAGTATGGAGTTTCCTCAAAAAATTAAAAATAGCTTTACCAGATGATCCCAGCAATTCCACTCTGGGGTATGTATCCAGAAAAAATGAAAACACTGTTTTCCAGAGTCCATGTTCCTCGTCAGTCCAATCCAAAGTCAGAAAATTTGGACTTGCATTTGAAATTGTGACCATTCACAACAGCCTGCCTGAGGTTGGGAGCTTTTACACTACTCTCATTGAAAGATGAAAATTAGAAACTATGGCATCAATATTAATGACTGCATTACTAAGACTCTGTGGAGGATGCTGAGAGTTATAATAGTTGATTTTTCTGGTTTGATTTTCTTTTTTCTTAGAGTAACATCAAAGCCAGAAAAGATGGTTTTACTTTTACTAACCTAATGTAAATGTTTATCTAGACTGTTTTTAAATGTGTTTCTTTGTGAATGCTTCATTTGGCTCCATGAAGCCTGTGTCAGCTGTATAAGTTTGTACTTGGGCACTTAATGTTTTTCTAAGAAACATGTTTTGGATCCTGTACTCTAATAAATCATTATTTTTTAAAATTATTTTTAAATTAAAAAAATGAGAACATTAATTTGAAAAGGTATATGCAGTCCAGTGTTAAAAGCAGCATTATTTATAATAGTCAAGACACAGAAGCAACCCAAGTGTCCATGAACAGATGAATGGATAAAGAAGAGGTGGTATGTGTATACAATGGAATTCTACTCAGCCATTAAAAATAATGTTATTCTGCCATTTGCAGCGATACAGATCTACCCAGAGAATGTTGTGCTTAGTGAAATAAGAAGTCAGAGAAAGACAAATACTGTATGTTATCACTTATCTGTGGAATCTAAAAAATAAAATAAATATATATGGCAAAACAGAAACAGACTCACATATGTAGAGAACAAATTAGTGGTTACCACTGGGGAGAGAAAAGGAGGCAAGGGCAAGATAGAGACATGGGATTAAGAGCTACAAATTACTCTATATAAAATAGACAAGCAACAAGGATAAATGGTATAGCACAGGGAATTACAGCCATTATCTTGTAATAACTTTAAATGAAGTATAACCTATAAAAACACTAAATCACTATGCTATACACCTAAAACTAATATAATGTAAATCAACTACATTTCAATACAAACAAACAAACAATAAATAATACACATAGAATAAATAGCATATATAGGAGGGGGTAAATGGAGGTGAAGTGTTCCAACATCATTGCATTTCCCAGAAAGTGGTAAAAATACTGATTTATATTAGATGTTAATAAACCAACAGAGAATATTACAGTGAGCTAATAGAGGAGACAAATGGGATTTTTTTTTAATCCGAAGGAAGAGAAAAAACTTGTAGAGAACAAGCAGGATACAAAGTAAGTAATAAAGTTGTAGATTTAAACTCAAGTATTTCAGTAATTACACTAATGTAAATGGGCTATATATTCCAATAAAGGACAGCAAAGAAGGCTGGTTATCCTATGATGTTTAATTCTGTACTCTAAAAATTAAAGTATTAGACCATGCATAGTATTGAGTTCCTATCAGACAATTAAAAATGGACACCTTAACCTCAAGTGACAGTGGGTACATATGCAGGGTATAAAGCAAAAGTATAAGATAAGAGAATTATGTTTAAACCTTGTTCTAAAGTTTTATCATTGATAAATAATGAAATCCAGTCTTACTGAAAATTAAAGCCAGTTTAACCAATCTGTTTAAGCTCTTTATCCCCTATGTATATTCAAAATTGATTTATACTAGGTATTCATAATATAGCCTTCATTTTGCCAAGTGGAAATAAATCTGCTGAGTACCTTATTGAAAGGAACTCCAAAGATATGAGAAACCTTTTATTCTCTATTCTGTTTTCTGGTGTTGTCTTCAGTCATCTAACTTCATTCAAATGTTTATTGAAAGTGTACTCTGAAAAAAAAAAGGAAGTGTACTCTGTGGCAGGCAGAGCTCCAAGCTCATGGTAAAGATGAACAAAGCTAACAAAGTCTTTGCTGTCAAGGAGTATTTATTCTAGTTTGGAAGTCAAAAAATAAAATGAGAGGGCTATGAAGAATAAAAAGCAGAAAAAGATTAGAGCATGATGAGGGAGGTGACATTTTAAATAAATGGGTCAGGGAAGGCATGTATAGGAATAGGTGGTCTTTGAACAGAGATCTGATTGAGGATGAGGGAGAGAGTTGAATTTCAGGTTGAGGGAGTGATAGAGGCAGAGACCACAGTGGAAGCATGTGCTTGGTCTTAAGCCAAGCAGGAGAAGGAAGGAGGTGTAGAAAATGAGCTCAGAGAGGTAGCCAGGGGATACCTGTGATTACGGGAAGCCAATGGGGAGTTGAAAATGACATGATCTAAGTTAAGCTTTCAAAATATCATTCTGCTTACTCTATGGAGAATCAATTGTAGGTAGGCAGTGTTAGCTTTCAGGCAGTGAGGCCATTTGGAAGGCTACTTTAGTCATCCAGGCGAGAGAGAATCACTTTAGAGTAGGGTGCTAGCAGTGCAGGTGATGTATAGTGGTCAGATCAGAATACCTTGCAAAGTAGAGCAGTTGGGTTCCTGATGGATACAATGTGGGATGGAAAAAAAAATCCAAGAATGACTCCAAGCTTTTTTTCCCCCCTAAGCAGGTAAGCAGATGGATGAATAGTGTTGCCATTTACAGAAACAGAGAACCCTGAGGAAAGAACAAATTTGGGGTGAAAAAAGTCAAGATTTCCATTTCTGTCATGTTAAGTTTGCCTGTTGGACATTCAAGTGAAGATGCCAAGTAGAGAGCTAGACCTTCAAGTCTGAATCTCAGAGAAGACATGAAAGCTGGAAATGTAAATGTGAGAATCAACAATCAGGAAATTGGAAGGTGAGTGTTAAAAAAAAAACTGGGAAGTAAGAGGATCAATATTAATTTTACATTAAAATTCACCATGAGTCCAGACTAGCAAACTACATTAAATCCTAATATATAAAAATGTATGGGCTTTTTTTTTTCCAGGTGAGTTACCTGAATCAATTCTCCCACTAAAAACAACTAATACTCCTGGATAAAACATCTTCTAAAAGCATTTGTTGAGACATGGAAACAGCCTAAATGTCCATCAACAGATGATTGGATAAAGAAGATGTGGTGTATTTACACAATGGAA